ACTGTAAATTTGCCTTTTAAGCAGTACTTGGTATATTTGTAAGTCTTTGGTCTTCATCTGCTTTCCTTTACCCTCACATCAAGCAAGTTTCTGTATTATTAACATATATAAATAGATCCTTTTTTATTACCACCCTTCTGCCAAAACACAGTGGTGGAGAACATGCCTGAGATACAAAGAGATGCTTCTAGACAGCCTAGGCCTTACCTAAAACTTTGAAGATGTTTGTATAGGTTCAGCAGTCTGGTGAGCTGAACTTCAAGCTTTGCCACTGCCTAAAATACCCCTTCCTCTGTTTACATCGTCTTTTGATTGTGTTCTCCTGCCATTTAACTTGTGCCAGCACTTAGCGCCCATTGGACCTCTCCAAGAGTCTATTCAACTCAACTGGTGGAAAAACAACGCAACTGTACAGTTTTTTCTTATTAAACGATCTAATAAGCTACCACCACATGGTAGATAGGAGCAGAGGTAAGGAGGAGATGTTAAAGGTAGGGGAGAGGGTAGCAAGCAAGATTTTCCTCTTTTCATGGCAAGGAATTACAAGACTGGCTGATTTGCACATGGTCTAACAGATCTTTCTTGGGGCAAAATATCCATCAGTCACAGTTATTAACACACTGATTAAATTTACAGACTAAGGATCTAAACTGGAATATATACTAACTATACATATATATGGGCAGTACCTCCTGTAAGAGAAGTAAACTCATTGCTTGTGTAGTCCAGATACTTGTTGCTCTTGCATAAAGACAAAATATTAAATGACGTGAACAATAATTAGAAGCAAATAAAAAATGGGAGTCTCCCTAAAACTCTTCCCGTTAACATCAGCTGTTTTGCTTCCCAAGGATTTGCAGAACTTTCCCTGCAAGCCTGCCCTCACTGTGAGCCAAGGTCAGAGAGCTGAGCCAAAGCAGAATTAAGATGCGAATCTTTGTTATCTGGAGCACTCTGTGGAACAAAATCATCATATCATTGGTGGTATCGGTGCTCTATGAATGGGAAAAGGGGAGAGAGTCTGGAGTTTACTATGCTGGGATTAATTTAAACTTCAGTAGTATTGAATATTCCAGTCTGCAGAGCAGCAGTGAAATGTAGTTCTTCTACTTTTTTCACTCTGTGCCGGTCTTCCGCATTCACTACTTATAGGACCACACACAGGATAAGACATTGTGAACCTAATTGCAATATGGATTGAATTCAGGGTGAAGTAAAGAATCCTGGATGGTGCAGTTGAGCAGGATTTCTCCAGTACAGTCTAACTACATGTTTTGCTTGAACATTTACAGTGCTATTAATCCTTATTGTTCATAAAGCTTTTATCCAATTTTTGAAGTTAGTGAGAATTTATGGCCCTTAGCATAATTCTAATATGCTAAAAAATAAAAAAGAAATCAAAGAGTTGACCATAAACAATGAAAATTGCATATAGGCTTGCAGTGGGAAGATGACAGACATGATTACAAGGACTTGGCTATCAGTTAATTTAGAAATCATCTGTTTGAGCTTATTTTTCCTGTGAGCTCATTTATCACTGAAATCGTTGCTAGGATGCTGTGCTTTGAAATTTGAAACTTGCTCTAGGAAAGAGCAATTGTGAAGTTTTTTAAACTAATTTTCTTCTTGGCAGCCTCTATATAGTGGAATTAACGATGCAAAATGGTTTTATTATATCAAGACCTGATCTGAAGAGCGCTTATATCTAGACTTAACTTTATTCACAGTTGCAGAATGATTCATGTTATATCTCTGAGTGAAGTTAAGCATGCGTAAAATGGATCTATTCAGCTGGCCTTAAATTCCTGCTAACAGTCTAATATTTTCTTCCTGGTCAGCTCCTGGCAGTTATCTGTCCAGGTCACTACTTAGGCCACGGAAATCATTCTTCAGTGCACTAGCTTTCACTACTGAACAGAGACTTGTGTAAAATGGAAGCTGTGTGAATGTGCGCCAGGTTGCTTAAAACCCCAGTGAGATGATGAATGGTGCACATTGCATGCTTGCATGGCATATTGTCTAAGCCCTTTCAAATCCTAGTCCCTGGCAATTTTTAGCAAGTCTTGTGATGTTTCTCTCACCTTGTCTGTCTGTCACCTGTGTCTTTAAACACTTACAGTCTACTCCAGATGATGCAGATGAAACTCAGATTGTTGCTGCAAGCACTAAAGATCACTCTTGACAGTCATGGCTGCTGTGCTTTGGCAGAAGTGATCCCCACAGGACCTTGCCTCATACAGAGCAGGAGAGCAGCTGGCTGCAGTGGGGAGCATCCAGGCAAGCAGTCCTGGGTGAGTGGGAGGAGCAGGGATAGGCAAGCCAGTACATAGCCCTTAATCCCTGGAGTGGGAGCAGCCACTGGAAGGAACAGACCTGGGAATCCCAAATAGGAAATCAATACTAAATTTGTATGTCACAAAGACACATTTGTAGCTCTCTGTTAAGAATTCTGAAATATGTACATGCACCTGCAAGTATAAATACCAACTGGATATTTCTGATCTTAGAGGTAATTGTCTTCTGCAGTTATCTGAATATTATGCACTGAAGCATCTTTCTTGTGAGCTTGGGACCCAGAAGGGCTGACTCTATCCACTTACATCCTTTTCCTGAGTAACTAATTTATTCCATGGGAAATTAGTCCTGATTTGCAATAGTCTTGGCTTAATTTCTGAAGTGTCAGGATGTGACCAGGTAAGTCAGTAGGCATGTAGGCCCAGAGATGTGGTGGAATCCTGATTCAAAAGATGTCAGGAATCACATTCATTGCACTCTAGCTGTGATTAAGAAAAGTATTTACAGCTTCAGAAATGTTTATTACATTCTATTGTCATGAAATAAACCGCAAAGCATAGGGAAAAAGCCAGCTCCTTGGAACATCTGGGGAAAACAGATGAACAGAAGGCTGATCTGCAGGAGTATACAGGAGGCAGGATGATCTGCCTGCCCTTTGCTGGTATCTCTTCATCTCTGTGCAGTATCAGTTTTGGTGCAGTAAATGAGTAAAACTTGTCCACTTGATCTGAGTACTTGGGGCCCTTGTGTGATTTTGGGGCTGCAGGAAGGATGAATTGACTCTGAGACAGTGGGGAAAGTGTGAGGATGAAGACCCCTCTTATGAGCTTGAAGGGGAAAAATAATGTTGGGCTGGAGGGAGAGCATGGTTATTTGCTGTGCTGAGGTAACTGGGGGAGCAGGGTGTGAGGACAGAGAGGGTTACTTTGTTCTAGTGTGAGACTCTTCAAGGGTGTATGATCTCCATATCATGAAGCAACCATTAATACAAATCTTTATAAACTGGATTCAATCAAGTCTTGTAGCAACAAAGCAGTAAAGCTAGCAATAAAGATCTGACTAAAATCCTCCCACTACGAATCTGCGAGAATTTGACAACCATGGAACTGCCACCCATACAGCTGGTGGTTGTGGGCCCAGAAATACGGCATGCCAAAAACCACAGGACAATATTTTCAAACAATAAAGACGCTCTGCTATGGTCCCTCCTCTGCTGATGGGGTTACTGTGGCTCTCCAACTGGATGTATTATCTTTGCAATCCTCCCTTGAACACACCAGCTCCCTGTGTACTCTCTCCACTGTATGCAGAGACCTACTCCAAAGCCAGCTGCAGGGAACCCATGGTTTCCTGATGTCCACTAGCCAGGTTTAATGGCTTGCCAGAGGCTTTGCAGCACAGGCTGGCTGGAGCAGGGCCTGAGGATGTTGGTGTGATGGCAAGGAAAGAGCATGAGCAACATGTCTTCGGGAAACAGAGATGGGAGCTTCTTTGTGGATGGCAAGCATCTATCACAGGAGGGTGCAGGCAAGTGTTGTGCTCTTTTCTTGCTCAGGATAACCAGGGAGTCTCATTTAGACAACAGCAGCCCTAGACAGAAAACTAAAATGCAGTGCATGAGACAGCTGAGGTTCTGTGCAAGGTGTTGGATCAATTCTGTGGCATTTTTCTGTATGTGTACAAATTAATGGGTTTAGATGGGGGAAAAAAACCCCAAAGGATCTGAATGCTGAATAAACACGAACACTTCAAACAAATCTATAATTTTCATTCCTGTATATATGCCTCTAACTTGCTAATGCTGCTGCTGCTGCTGTCAAATTGTGTAAATTGCCTCAAAGTTATCATAACAACGCTCATTTCTTTCATATAAGGCAATGTAAGAAGGACTCTTTCTTTGCAAAAATAACTAAGGATGGAGGATAAAATAGACAACTTGTATACAGATATTTCTGGCTAAGGAACTGGATTATATGAGAAACTTTGGTCTATGAAGATAACAGAGTTTGTCAACTGTTCCCATCCATCTCGTCCCTGTCCTGTGTCAGCAGGGGGAAGTAGTAACTAAGACCTTCTGTGGCTTAGATACTAAGTGCGTACACTGGAGTATTTTTGTCTGCCCTCCTTTCTTTCCCTCTTTGACATCAGTAAGAAGTTTTATTTATGCACTGCTACAAGCTATTACATCTACTGTGGAAAATTACTGACAACTGCTTTGTTAGTGACGCTTATGTCCAATTAAATCTGCTTCCTTTTACAACATTTCTGATCATCCGGATGACAATATTGCAGGTGCTGCTCAGATTTCTGCTGGCTGCAGCCAGAAAATTAATATTGTTTTAATTAGAATGATTGCTGTAACAGCAGATTTCTAAAAATTGCAGTGATGGTGTCTTGGAGGCATGCGGTGTGAGCAAGGACACCTCTTGTTCCCCATCCAGATCCCAGGCTGTGTCTCCAAACCCCGTGCCTGCTTGGAGCAGAGCTAGTTTAGCCCCACCCTCTGAGCAGTCCAGCCTTTATTTATATGAAATCTGTGGTCCAACTGGCTTCAGATGGCGTGTGTATGTGCGTGTGCCTGCCTTCTGAGTGTGCGAGACGAGCTGGGATCATGAGCCAGGGTTGTTCCAAGTGGTTTTAATCAGCAGCCCATTAGAGGAGAACGGAAAAGTTCCAACAGGATAAGAACCGAGTAAGTAAACGTAACTTTGAACTTGCAATCTGGACAGAATAAATGCAAACAAAAATCTTCATAGTCTGTCAGTTTTCAGATAAATGATCACTTTTAGAGAGAAAGCGGTGCATGCTGACAGGAAGGAGGCAATTTAAAAGGACTGGAATGAAGGAAACCGTAAAAACAAAGTGGGAATTGAGAATGCAAGAGAGAAAAAAACCAGCAAACGATTGTTCACAAAGTTGGTACACTCTCATACTCTTTTCAGCTGTGGACAGGATGTGTTTAGCTTTAACCTCTTGCTTTCTTGGATGCTATCGTGTGGCTGCGTAGTTCCTCCTGCAATGTGGGTGAAGATTCCTGCTCCTCACCTGTCTGCCAGCAGGTCTGTTCTCCTGACAGCGCGGTGTGGAAGAGCTGGCTGTGGCTCCTTGCAGAGCACCCCATGGCACGCTGCTGTTCGCTGCTGCTGACTTCTTGTTTTTTCACAGATTGCTCCCGTACCCCCATGGGACAGAATTTCCTGAGTCTCTTCTCCTCTGGAACCTGTAACTTCTTGCCAGGCACCACGAAAGCGCTCAGCAGCAGAAATGAACAGGACTCTTGCTAGGTTTGGGTAAACTCTGCCTTTGACAAGTCACAGCTACTTGGACTGCATCTGCAATGTGGCAAAGGGTGAAGTGAGGACAGTGAAGAGGCCATGGTTTGTGGGCAAGTCCCCAGGTGCCGCAGGCTTTGTCGCCCTCGTCCCTTCCTTCTGGCCTTAGTGGTGGCCATCTGTCTGTTCTGCCAGACCCTGTCTCCTCTCATGACCAGCAGCATCCTTTCAACAGTTGTTAATGGGATTGCACCCAACAAACTGACCAAATCACAGCGGGGAAGATACAAGGAGGTCTCCCCAAGGAACATTTACTGCTTCCTCCCTAGCAGTAACTCACAGACAGTGAAAAAGGTAAGTCAGCTGGAGCATAGTGCTGAGCAATAATTAGCAAAGCGATGGATAGCGAGTCTGGCAGGATCATCTGAGTCCATCATCTAAAATTAGCCTAAGCTTGGAAGTCTGAGATCTGTATACAAACAAATGGGTGATATAATGACAGCAGCATATGTACAAGCACATCGCTATTACCAGCTCCTCGGTGTGGTGTTATTAACACAGGAATCTTGAAATCTTCTACTGAAACATGGCATTGCTTTGTGACTCTAGGGGGATTGCAGTTTGCTGCACGGACCGTATTTTATTTTGGCTTTAGGTATTGGTTCAGAGGCTTTAAAGTGCAAGGCACATAAATCAGGAGCCAGTGGGGTTTCATGAGAGTGACTGGGGCTGGTAGTTAGCACCAGGACTGCAGCTGCCCTGTGTTAAAGTTATCTCCTGGTCTGTTTTGAACTTTCCTGGGATTCTGCAGAGAAGCTGCACTTGAGAAGTAGAAAAAACACTTTTCACATTTTCAAATCTCACTATTTACTTTGGAATCTTTGTCCCACAAATTTAACTTCGTCCTTAGGTTACCTGACCTCATGTTTATTTTATACAGGGTTCCTAGAATGGGTGTTAAAAGCCAACAAATGCAGACACTGTTATTTTAGTTGGAAAATGTGGTTTGTTAAATGGTCCAGACTGAGGTAGTTATTTTTACTCTGGAATCTGTGATCAGCACTAGCACAAATGTTTCAGGTTTTCTTCAATCCTGTAAGGAGCTGCTAATAGTGCAGCAGATAGCACACTGTGAAATTATCATTATACTGTCATTTTATATACAACTGTATGAGGACTGTAAACATTAATCTGATAACTTCACAGGTTATGGACAGCATCCACACAAAGCAGTTAAAATTTAAAAATATATTAGAAGACTGCTTCTTTGATAAGGCAGGGTTCACAGTCTGGAAAGTCAGTAATATTGATTTTAGGAGACCGGTTGTAAAGTGCATCTTCTGCAAAGTCAAAAAGAGATATGTGAAATAACTATGGCATGAACTTTTTAACCTTAAATTTAAAAAATTTGATTATTTTTTCTAGCAAAGGTCAGAGAGATTTATCTTAGAGTTGCAGAAATCTACTCAATGCTGCATTTGTCATAATTTTACTTTTTAATGACCTTTTAGTGCACTAGGTACCAAGATTTGGATTTGTTCAACAATGTGACATGAAGAATTTCAATATAAAGGGCAGTAAGCACAGCTGACAGATGCAGGTCCTATTGTGTTACAGCTTTTGACACATAGAGCACATTTCTTTTTACTTGTTGCTATTGTAACAGCAAAGAACATTTCACATCTTTCCTTGGGCTACCTAAAGACTGTAAGAACTGGTGAAATAATAGCAAGTGTGCTGTTTGGCTGAAAGTATTTGTAATTTCTTCCTTCCCACTTTTCATGAGAAAAAATATGGATTAACATAGAACTTGGCATGCTGTCTGTTTGAAATGAGAAGGAAACTCCTGTTTTTACAACATGCAGTACTCTCTGCCCTCCAGCATACATGGTTGGATGTGACTATCACACGCACATGCTGAACCTATAGTACAGATGTCAATGCACATGTTAACCCTTTATAGGTACATTTTCCAGGGCTGTGCTGCTCTAACACATTCTTCTTCAAGTTCTGAAGACCACCCATAGCTGGCTCCTTGTTTGTCTTGAAAGTTTCCCCTAGAGCATGATGTACAAAATGTCTTGCACATGTTGGGACGTTCCTCTAAGTTTCCAGAGGATACTCTGCTGGTTGTGTGGGCTGAACAGTAGTCTCAGGGGACAGAAAAGACAAGTATCGCCAACAATCCCCACTACTTTGCTTTGAAAGTGTGCTCTTGAGCTGTGTGTTTTAGTCCACTGCTCATTCAAATAGCCGAACTGTTGTTACCTTGCTTGACTGTATTGGGTACCCGATAACATCTAAGACAGATGTCATGGTTGAAACTTTACACCGTTTTATTTTACTGCCATGTGCCCAGCCACAGTAGCTAGTTTGGAAAACCAGTTTTCATTAAAGCTCTGGTTTAAATCTTTGTGTATGAACCTGGAAAAATACTTTTAAATATGGTCCAAATTATTCACATTTTAAATAACTACTTGTTCTGTAAATAGACCAGCAAGCAAATTTGTTTTAACAAAAAAATCTATTGTGCAGTTAAACAGTGACTTAAAGCAAGCACTGCAGTGGGTCTTCTGAAATCAAAGTTCATGAATACATTTTAAGGAAAAGAAGACCCTGCTGGAGATAATATTCTTTAGATAACCCTCGGCGTTTCTGGGTTCTGAGCCACAGCATCTGTCACACTACAGAATCTCTTCTGACTGGGTAGGGGCAGGTTTAATTCTTACTTCCTTCAGAGAAACAATCAGTATTGTGTTGAGCATGCTGCGAGACTTTGGTTATGATTGTTATTGCATGAGCAAAATCCCCTTCCAAAGTCTGATATTTTCTCTATAGCAGCTTTTATGAGCCATTGGGGAAGCAGAGGGAGAGATCTGAGGAAAAGTACAGCTCTGCCATTGCATCTCTGATCTCAAAATTCGTCTCATTTCAGTAAGGAAAGTTCCAGACAAATGTGGAAAAAGTATGGGGCTGGAAATTACCAATTTGGTCTGTGTGTCTTTAACTACATCCAAGATGCCCTGGGATGGAGCCATTGCAAACTGTCTTTTTTAAATTGCAAAAATTGCAGATTTCATTCATAGCCTGGAAAACCTGACAGCTCATAGTACTTCTCTCAGGTACCACACATTACAGGAGTTTTAAAAGGTACTGGAAAGCCAGTCCTGTAGACTTGTTTTCATGTCAACAGAGGTCAACATTTTCTAATATAAAATGAAATAATAACACCTGTAGCATGAAAAATAGAAGGCTTATTTTTGAATCTCTGACATTAAAGGCATTAAAAGGTGATATCTCATCCAGCAGCAGGCTGCCTTCAGGTTCAGCCAGGCACACTCACCTCCTGTATGATGAAATATTTGCAAACACATATAGTGAGCAGAAAAGCTGGTGCATCAAATTGAAATAGGTGAAATAGGTGTCAACAAAAAAAGCTCCTTGAAAGCCTTGTGTGTAGGTTTGCCTAGCAGGGTATTGTGCCAAAAATACTTTTGGTACCAGCCAGATGTAAAAACATTCCATTCAAGTAATCTAGCTCTGCTTCTCAGCCAGCTCTGAGGAGTAAATTAGCTGGTTACACTGTGTTTCCACTCTCTGAATTAATTCAGCCAGAGCCAGCTTAGATGTCTCTGCCCAGCAGTGCATTTTGCCCAGGTAGACGTAGGACTCTGCTATGGGGAGGAAGAAATAAGACAGTATTGCTCATATGGTAGGCACTGTTTCAGCATACTAGCTTTCTAACCATAGGCAACGTATAAAAAAAAATCAGACTTTTAAATTTTAAGGTGGGTCCTAAGAAAGATTATACCATGGATACTCAAAAGGGCCTTGCTTCACATCCCCTGACTAAGGCCACTGAGAAAAGGAAAATAAACAGGACATGCAGATGATTATACAAGAATTTAATTGGTAGGTGAGGCTGGCATCTTCATACATAAAATGTCACAGGTATGGTGAAAGAAAGCAATCTTCACTTTCAAGACCCTCAACATGCCACTTATGTTTGGTATAAAAGATACATCTCAAGAGGAGCTATAATGAGGTGAGCACACAGGAAAAATGTGAAAAGGTTTTTTATGGCTTCCTTCTGAACAAATAGGATAGGATACCATTTACTGGGAGCGGACAGTATGGAAGATGGAAGATAATGACAGCTTGATGTGGCCGTTATCTCAGATATGCTATGTAGAAAAAGGAAAAGAAGAAAAAGAGAGGGAGAAACATCATGCTTTAGTCCTAAACAAGATGTGGAGGAAAATGCAGCTAAACATCATGCACAGGTTACAGGCCCAGGTACCTATATTTTGTAAACTGGGAGGGAAGTTACTAAAAAGATGAGAAATTGTTACTAGGCCATTAGACCGCTGACCATCCAGAGTGGAATTATCCTCTCTTTACTAGAGTGCTCCACTGTATCTTGTCAGACCCAGAAAGCTGGACTTCATAGTCAGTAGAAATAACCGCCTCTAATGCTAAATTCATCATGACTTGTATGCAGACATTTAAACAAAATCTGATTAACTTCACCCTCTAAACATATATGTCTGGAGTTTTTTTCTTTGATTTTTTTTTGGGGGGGATGAAATATACCTGCTTCAGTCAGTAGAAGCAGGGAATGAAGGGGGCAGGAGAGGGCTGTCATGGAAGAAGGCATGGGGAAAGGAGGTGGTGTGGGAGGCAGAGTAGGGAGCTATGACTGCAAGTAATAGTATCCTCAGAAGGCACAGAAGAGATTGTGCACAGAGGGGGATGGACTTGTGCAGGGGAAGCGAAAGGGAGATGGGAATGGAAATGGAAAGAAAAGAAGACAAAGCTAATGGGAACTTTTGAAATGTAAATATGTGAAAAAGGAGAAATGAAGCTGGATGATAGAATGACAAAGGGTGATTTTTGCTATTATGCAGAAATGCAGTGTGGTGAGAGCTCTGAATAGAAAAGAGTACTTCATGCATAATAAAGTCTGGTACATTTTTAAAGTAAATTAAATCTTTAAAGATTATTTATTTTATAGAATACAGTAGGGGAATGAGAACTCTTTTCTTACAAGACAAAGAACTTTGATAGTATGAATCCTTTGCTAATGGAAAGCAATTGTCAGATGGTATGGTATCAGCAACTAGTTTCCTTGGAATGAAACCCTACAAAAGCAAGACATTTTTTTCCTTACTTTTCAATGTAAAATGCAAAAGGCTCTAAGGAAACAGCTATTTTTATGAAGCAGATAGCTAAAGATGTTTTGGTGATAAGGGCAAGGTTATTGTGGTAGCAGTCAGGAAAGAGGGACAGGGTGGAGACTTTTTGCAGGAAGGGAACTTTGAGAAGGATGCATTGGCAGCAAATGGGAAATGAAG